AAGTGCCAAATTTGACTCTTGCACATTTGCTCTAGGCAGGACATCCAATGGCTGTGTTTTTCCCTGAAGAGTTTCCAGCACTTTTTCCCAGCACAGCAGGTGGAGACAGCTGGAGCTCACACTACATGAGTAAGAACATGGACACCCACAGCCAAGCCACCAACCTTCTGCCAGCAGCACATGCCGGTGCCCCCGCCACAATGGCAAGCACAGCAGAGTGGGGATAACCCAGTTAAAACACAAACAACTGGTTAGAGAAAATGGCTGCAGACATACATCTAACATTGGTGAAAGAGAGAAAACCTATGTCAGCAGGAGTCCCATACTTTTAAACTCTCTTGTCCCTTTTGGAGGAAGCAACACGTGAATTTGTTTAAATGCAGCTTCACTCTTGCTTACTTCTGACACCAGGTCAACCATAGCAAATTTTTTACCATGACACAACATCTAGTGTTAGACCATTTCTGTACCTCAAACAGTCTCTGCCTAGTACAGAGGAAAGAAACAGTACAGCAACATAAAGGTAGAAACACTGGTAAAATTATGTTTCCCAGTACAGCTTATTTCACTTCATCAGATTGAAGTAGACTTCTACACTAAATGCCTTTCCCATCAGTATAGGTGTACTTACAGCATAGGTGTACCTATACCAACACACCTCCATGAATAAGAACTAGACACCAGCAGTTCCTCAGTGACAAATTGAATGATTTAATTAAAACAGCCTCTGCCCTCTCACCTGACTGTGACTTCAGAATATGCTTCAATCTCTAACTGTCTGTAACTGGCAGGGAGATGAAGAGGACAAGGTTCAGTAAAAAACATTTGACTTTCAAAAAGTCAAGTGTACAACAAGAAAGGCCTTGTGTCTGCACTGACACTTTAGAAAAATTCAAAAAGAAAAATTAAAAATAAATAAAGATTAATAAATTTTTATTATCTCAAATTTCAGCTTTGTGACATCATTCTGCCTGATGTGAGGAAAGCCACTTTGCTTTTCTTTGCCTCTGTTTCTCACATGGCATCTCTTCTTGCACCCTTTGCCAATCCGGCATCCATGCAGGCAGTGCAGGCTGTGGGTGCTGTTGGTAAAAAGCTAATGAGTAGGAAACTGGTATGCAAGAACACTGAAAATTCCTTCAGCTTTTGTATAAACATGAAAGAAGGAAAAAAAGAAGCAAAGAGAAGGCACAAATTTTTTTTTTCACACTTTATGCTGCAGAAATATGACTGTTGACAGGGTGGAGGGCAGGAGAAATTGAAGTGGGATGAGTGTGTGTGCAAGTCCAATGACAGCGAAACCTCTTTAACCAGGTGTAAAATGGTAGTTAAAGTGTTGAAAAGACTCTTAAGGAGAAAATTCTCTTCTGCCTTTCTGGCTTCTTGCTTTGTAACATGAAGATGCACCGTACTACAGAGACTGCATTTTCTTTTTGAAGGAAAAGAAGAAAAGAAGTAGTTTCTACTGTATTCTGTGAACACTATATTCATAATCCTTTCCCACTGAACAAATTCATAGAATCATAGAATTATTCACATAAAATATGCCATAGGCTCATAAATCTGTTCTGCATTAAAATGAATGTTTAACTGATGGTCCTTTCACAAACATACATTATTCACATCAAATAAAAGTCTGTACCTTTTATTTTATTGTCAATGACCAGTCTAGAACTTGAAAATCACCAAAATATTTCAAATGCTGTAATCTTTCCTTGGTCTAGGACATTATCCTTGCTTCCAGACTTTTGGTAGCTGTAATAATGCACACCTTAAAAATTGTCAATTTGTTTCTTGCATTGCACATAATCCCATGCAAAGGTGCAATAGGGGTCAGGACAGCCTGTTGAAAGGTGGAACGAAGAGGAGAGAAAGAGGCCTAGATCATTCTAGATCTAGGCTAGATGCAGTTTCAAACTCTGAAATTCCACTCTGCTCGACATTTCATGCAAACATTTACAGCCTGAGGTTTTTCAAGAAATTGCAGCAGCTAGGCAGGGAAGAACACTAAATACCACGTGGCCAAAAATGGGAAAAATACTTTCCCTGGAAAGAAAAATTTTCGCTCTTTTCACAAAAGATTTAACAGTTAATATTTTATTAACCAATGGTGGTAAATATTATGGTGAAAAAGGTAATAAATAAATTGAGTAAGACTTTTCTGCTGCACAGAAGGAGTTTAGCAAACAAAGTCCAGATTTGTTTGCAATGTTTGTAAACAGACACAGAGGCTTTTCCTGGTTGTCTGTGGGTGAATCTACACAATACACAGCAGGCACAGACAAGCAGTTTTTGTCCTTGATTCCAGTGACCCCAGAGGCAGACTCTGAGCACAAGCCTGGCAAAGCTGTACCAGCTCACCCACAGCAGCCACAGGATCGGCCACGGGCCTCAGAGCCTCAGGAGGGCAGGAACTGAGCAACACACAACAGACTGTGCAGACACAGCCAGTAAAATATAAATCTGCTGCTGAGTTACTTAAGATTTGATCCATATAGAACTTAGCACTGAAAAAAAAGCAGATATGTGAAAAATATCTGCTTCCACACAAGCAAAAAAAAAAAAAAAAAGTAAGCATAAAACTGATCTGGTTTCAGATTTCATTATAAATGTGAAAGCAAAGCTCTGGGAATAAACCCACCATATTACTGAGCATTTTTCAATTCATCAGTACTCATAAGCTTTTTAAAAATCATACTTTATTTAATTCATGAAAGCAGCTACTATAGGTTAGATCAGAAGCTCCATTTAGGCTTGTATCACATCTCCTACATGCCCAGAAGCCAGTGTCAAGGCAAACAGTGAAAGATGCAGATGGCTATTGAATGATCCTTCACCCATATGCCCTTCAGGCCATCATACTCCTAAATGGAATTTGTATTGCTTTAAATTCCAGCCATTAGTTCTTACAGATGGCTTGGTTACCATTAAGATCAGCTTTATCATTTTCACTGCTAAAAAGAGAATAATAGGTGTGTGTAGAATTCACACAGCACATTTATTCCACCTATCTGTTCCCTGGTATTATATTTTTAGCTTTATAGTATTAGTCTAATTTACTGACTCCCAGGCTTAACATAGTATGCTTTAAATTATATATTCAGCTCAAAAAAATAAGATATTCTATGAATATCTATCTTGAAAATATTTATAAATAAATAGCCCCTGAATCAACACAGACACAACATCTAAACCATTTTTTTTGAAGTCTGTATTGGTTTCATTTTATGCTGCTTGTTGTAAAGGACAATGTTGGTAAAATCTAATGCGATAAAGATTATCTCTGCTGGAAGAAAATAAACCTTTCAAATAACCTGTGCAGTTGCTTTGAAAGTCTGAGCCAAATCTGGCACAAGAGAGACAAAGCCCTTCATCAGATCTGATTAGGCAGAAACCAATTGACCAAGTATTCAGCAGACACACAAAGCAGGTGTTACATCCACATTGGATGTAACAGAAAGGGGAGAAAAGAAACTAGTAGTTTAAGAGAAAGGATGTGGCATCATGTCCTACATGTAATTTAGAAACTCAGACAAATGACTAAACAAATCTGTCCTGTGGCATTCTTGAGCAGAGGGGGTAAATCAATAATTTTGGAATTTAAGGAGGAAAAAAAAACCAAACTAAAAACGCAGCCAGTCTTGATTTGGGTACTTTTAGTTTTTCAAATAGCAGCCTTCAAAATCTGTATTTCCACATGGATACAGAAATGAGAACATCTCCCTTTTCTAAAGTCGACTCCTTGTTCGCAGAACGTAACAGGAGCAAAGTCATGATAGATAAAGATTAACAAAAATAATACAGGTAAACCCATATTTCTTTGCTCTGGTCAGGGGTAGCACATAGGGGATTTCTAGAAAATACTAAACACATATGAGTAATTTTGTGCCTGGCACACAATAGCAGCTGGAGCAGGCTGGTGTCCTGCAAGACCCCACACGCTTTTTTCTGATCCTGTTTACCATTGTGGTCAAGCACACTCACTCATAAAAAGCATAAGAAAAAGAAGACAAAAGCCAAAGTGTCTCTGCTTAAGTCAGTGACAGCTCTGACATTGAAAAGGCTTTAGCCATTGTATTTTCTCACTTCATTTACCCTTCAAGAACAGAGTTTTATGTTACAGTGTGTTTGCAGCCTCACAAGTGAACAGTGAGCACATCCATACAATTCAAGAACCTTGTGCAACACCTGGGAGGCCCTGCTTGTGTCCAGACAGCTTGAGAGGCAGCCAGCCTGCCAACCACACTACTCATAAGCTTTTCTCTTCAAATACAGCATTTTGTTTCAAAAGTACAGGACAGGGTTGGCCACTCCATGCTTTACACAACAGAGTTACTTAGGCCCCTGTAGCTCTTCTCCTCCCTTCTGAGTGCATTGGTGGAGTTAATTATTTTTAGATGCAAGTTCAAAAAGGTGTTTTCCAACAACAAGGGACTTAGAATAACACCAAGTTGTTTAAATCTGAGTCAGCTGAAGCACAACAACAGCTGATCTGATTCAGGTTAGAGCAAAGGTAGCTGTCAGGACAATATTTGTCTTCCTAGTTTGATGCTTTGCTAAAAATTCCTTAATGTTTTTCAATCTGAAATTTCATTATTCTGGTTTTGTTAAGCATGGGCTGAGACTAAATACCGATGGTAAGGAGCCTCAGCTCATTCACACAAATAATGATAAATGACACGTGACTACTGACAAACCACAAGCAGAAAAGAGCAGAAAAGTTAATGTCATTTACTAAATGAAAGAGACTATAGAGCCTTTAACATCTAATTAACCTCTTTTGCAATGTGAGTAATTTTGGTGACCAGGCTGTACATCTGAGGACATACACGATTCCCTTCTGTTTATCTCCTTCACTCCCAAGATGCAGATGTTATCAGCCCTTGGGTGCATAAACACTACAAAAATGCAAGTACTAGGGAAAAAAATGGTGGCAGTGAAGAATTTTGCAAAGAAATGAGAGATGAGAAATATGTACAAATCATGCTACCTGCTTAGAAGACAGTAAAAGGAGAAAAAATTTAATTTAGCAGTGTTTGAAAATAGGTTACTTGGGGGCCATAGTGGGGCTACAGAGCAGAAAACTCATCATCAGCTGTTGTCGTGCACATGGAGAACTCACAGTCAGCTTACAAACTATGCTTCCCACAGTCAGGATCCTTTAGAGAAGGACAACAATTAGAGCAATTTTCAGAGGATGTGCAGCTTTGACACTCACAGGTTCTCTGCAATGACAGTGTTTAAGACAGATTTTTCATTACTGCTGAAAACACCTGTGCAGTCTACAGTCAGGTTACTTTAGCAATAAAAATCTCTTTACTTGGCAGTCTGGAATTGACACTGGTAACCTGACTATTATTTTAGAACACGTCAAACTTCACTTCTGATTAACATGCTAAACAATAAAATTACAATTTCTCCTCTCCCAGAAAACTGCACTGCAATTACAGGGGAACCTGTTAACAGACACCAAAGGGACTGAGAATTTTATAGCCATTAAATAATGCAGTGTAATTAATTCGTAGGCATTTTCTCAGGGACAGATATCCTTGGCTTTGAGGATGAATTAAGACATTTTTCACCATTAGCACAGGTTAAACTTCATTTAGAGCAAAGTTTAATTCACTTTCTCGGTGTCTTACCTATATTAGAGAGAATTCTCTTCATACTGTCTCTCCATCCACTTTTTCCCTATCACTAGGCTAACTGCTTTATACATGGGCAATACTAGAAATATCAAACATTATCTGCAGATCCCCTTCCGGAAGCTGTCAAGGAATATGCCAAAACATACAGAGGTCCTTTACCTCTGGATATCTGGTTCTGCCAGCTACTTCTGCATTCATCTGTGACTTGGCAGCAACTGTTGCAAAGTTTGCCTGGAAGATGAGCCACACAGTGAGACAAGAAAGCTTGCCAGAACCTGCAAGAATGTGAGTCATTTCCAAAATCATTTAGTGGGGGAGAAAGCTGTATCTTTTCCTGATCCCCACAAAGGATGCAGTGTTAAGAAATGCAAAACCCCTTAATTTGGTATTACTTATTGATGTAAATTTTTTAACCAAATTTTCTGTTGGCATTTCTCTACCAATAAATGCAACTAACAGTGCTATGACAATATAAACTACTTCCACTCTGAAATCCATTTTTTGCACGTTTATAAACTTTAAAATATTTATTTATTTATTTATTTATAATACTAAGAACACATTTTTTTCTAAAGGCCAATAGGAAATACAAGAATAGTCAGTCCAGCCCAGTAACTCATTAAGAGAATTGGGGAATTCATCAAGGAATGCATCAAGGAAAGAGTAACAGAGGGTGCATGGGAATTGCACAGCTCATCTCACAGAATAGCACAGCCAAACATCCACTAGACTGTGCTATTCTTTGGAAAGAGTCTGACTGTTGAAGTGCTTCCTGCATGGATAGCCTGCTGGCCCTGCTAGCTGGAAAGGGGAAAAATTTCCTGTAGTTCATCCAAAAGCTAACAAATCCATGGGTAATTTAGATGCATAAATCAAAGAGGGGAATAAAATGGTGGAAAACTGTGCACGATATTTTAATAAATTAACATGGACAACATTGCTAAACCAACATTTTCTAGCTGGGAGATGTATCTGTCATTTCTACTGTATTTCCCAGCAACCACTCACGTAACTACTTCTTGATTCTTAAAACAGCCACAAGCCTCCCATCCTCAGGGTTGGGTTCTCCATCAGAACTGAAGTTCAGAGCACAGTTTCTAGGTTTAACTTATGATCTGAGCTCTGTTAAACTACATATTCCTCTTGATTGTTTTCAATTTTATCACCTGTCTACTTTCACAGTCTCATCTATTGGAGGAAACCGTGATTTTGGGGCAACGCCATCATTCCTTCTCTTGCCCAAGAACACTACAGACCATGGTCTGTCAGACTGTCATTCAAGCACCATCATAAGGGTCATATCACAGTGAGAAGAAGCACCATATTGTTGCTGTCAGAAAAAATCCTCCCCAAATGCCACTACTTGACAGTGACACTGATCTCCACAGCCTGGAGCTGTATACTCACTCACTACAAGGCACAAGTACCACAGAGGTGCTACATGTCCCACTAGCACCATGAAAACAGAGCACCCACTATTCGCCAGCTCGTTTCACCTCTTCTTTAGCATTAGGCAAGTACAAGCATTTTTAAAAATGCTTTCAGCAAGACAGGTTAACTTGCGGATAACAAATCGGAAACAAAATGTTTTAACAACATAATATAAAACAGTAATACACTTGATAAATTAACACCTGTCTAGTTGCTTACTGCTTCTCATCCAGGACACCTCAGAGATCAGCCACGAGAGCACACCATGAAATCCTGCCTTTTGCTCTGAACACTCACTTTCTTCCTTCAGCCTTTATCAGATCTGAGGAAAAATGCCTTAATTCTGAGCAGTAACTGTCCTACAGGCAAGTTCTCATTTCTAGGTCTAAGGCTAGCCAGAGTGTGGGTGATCCAGCTCCATTTATGGAGCCACCACACTCTAGATAGACACTTTGAAAATATTTTATCTGTTCTTCTGCTTCAGTTATTTCAGATCTAGATTGCTACTTTTTATCTAAAGCCATGTAGTCTTGATGACTCTTATCTCACTCCTTCATTGCCTTCTGAAGCTGGAGGGTTTGACCACGGATGTAAATTCCTTGGAAGGCTCTCTCTAAATTACTGCTTTTGCTATTTCACGATGCTTCTCTCTACCCATCATTACTTTTCCTTTAGGTTTTGCACTTATTCCAACAAGGCTATTCCTCTGCCACGGTGATTAAAAGACACTTTTCCCTGTTCTTGACTGCCATTTCCTGCCCAGGCTGAAGTCCTCCTTCATACAAAGCTACAGCCAGACTCCATTTAACATTAAAAAAGCCACATACTATAAAGTTGTTCTCTGAAGTACATGGTATAACACCAGCTTTGATACAGACCCGCAAAGTGCATTCTGTCTGAGAATAAGGTATTGTGTCTAGATATGTGTAGGAATGCAAATATTCCCTCGTCCTGTCTCCAACAGGAGTTGTGTTCTCTGTGATACAGGGTCCTCTTGCATCCACAGAAATTTTAGGTGGGTGGGTGTCTACTGGAGCACATCACCCACAGCTTAATGGGTCCCAGAGCCCAGGGAATCCACAGAGCAGTCCAGACTCACAGCTGTGGCAAGGTGACTTAAAATCTTGCTAACAGTCCTCCTCCCTTGTGAGATCTCCAAGCAGGACAGCTTTCTGCCTGTATAAATCTGTAGTATAGCTAATCTTTACCAAGGAAGTATTGCCACATTTTAATTGATCCTCTGAGATATAACAATACACATATCAAAATGAAGGTTAAGTTCAAATCTAAGCTGGAAGGATGAAATACACTTTTTGTTTTAATTTGTTCAGTACTCTGCTTCCCTTTGGTTCAGCAATGTCCTGTTTTTGACCCAAGGTCCCAAACCAGCACACAGATTCCAAAATGAGTTCCCTGCTAACCCAAATGGCAGATGGCCACACCACAAAGATAAAACATGACCTGGTTCCAGCTTGCAGCAGGAAGCTAAAGCAAAGCATCAAACAATCTCTGGAACCGGAAACTCTGGAACTTTGTATTCCTTCTCCTGGCAGGGTAACTACTGATAAAACTATTTGAAAATCATGCAACTGCAAATTTGGAAGCCGGTTTCCTAGGAGTTATTGAGAACATCAGAAAATTCAGCAACTTTACTTGCACTGTAGTTATTTCTTCCTCAAGTACTTGCAAGTATAGAGTGGCAGAAGAGTAACACCAAAACACAGGAATCAGTGGCCTTCAAGCAGTAGGGTACCTATCACTCACCTATTCTATTTAATGAACTTGCATGAAAACAGGGCTTAAAGAATAACAAGTAACATGGTACATCAACTGAAGAGAAAGCAAGCTGGAGTTTTCTCTCTATTTTGCAGCAGCTGCCAGGAGCTGGTTCACAAAGCACGATAGACTGGATCTTTTCTGACAACATTAAAATTAAAAATGAAATTGTTTTCCATTATTAATTATAGAAATGTACCCCTTGCTCTGAGAGCTCTCAGAAATGGTGAAACAGCATCTGGTAGCAGCGCAATGTAGGCATATAAACCTCAGCAGACAATAAGATGCTTGGAAGAGTTTGCCTCAGATTCAACAAAATGTCAAGTTTACTTTCCATCTGACAGAGTAAACTCATTTTTATTAGAAGCCACTACAGAAATAGCACCGAAGACCTGACAGCCTTAATGTGACACAGGCATGCACGTACAAGCACCCACTCTTGCTCTGTATTATTACTTTTTAACTCTTACTTTGAAATCACTTGCAGATGTTACAACACAGTTACCACTTCTATCCAGTGGCACAATCCCAGTGAAGCTTAAGCCAGGACAAATGAGGTGGAACCAGGTCCTGTCACACATCCATAGATTTTAGTGGGTAACATGTAGATATTATGGAGGTGACAATGGAAGAGGAAACGCCTTTCAGGTTGAGAGAAAATGTTTGGTTAGTAATTTCATTAACCTGCAAATTTAATGGCATCAGATTTTGCTTCATATTTATAAATAAATAATGGTCACCTGTCTTCCTGGGTTAACAATACCACAAGAACAACAACAATATTATAGCACACAGGCTTGTAGAATTAACTTACTGCTATGGTTTGTTACTGCTCTCCCCTCCCTGTCCTTTCTACTCTCATTCTGCTGCAAAAAATAACACATCACTAAGGACATGGGACTTGTGACCCACTTCCCCAGAAACATCTCCCACCTCATCCCCAGGAACAACAAAGACTCTCCATTTGCCTCCCTTCAAAAGACTCTTATTCCCAATGCTTATGAAGCAAAACACAAATCCAGGAACCAGCCCATTCAGAAGTCTGAAGAGCCTTCCCAGTGCAAACACATTTCCAAATCTTCTAAAAGCACAAATGGGACACAGACTGGGTCTTTCATATTTCTATTCTGAGACTTATAAAATTCCATCTCAACCATTGACTTTATTAAAACAAACAACAAAAAAAAAAAAAAAAAAAAAAAAGAAAAAAAAAGAAAAAAACCCACCAGGTAAATTCTATTAACATGTTCCTGCATGGTAAGTGAATTAGAAACCAGCAAAGTTTCTAGACAAGAGTTTCTTTGAGTTTTCTTGAGTCTAAGCAAACTCTCCCAAAGTACTGTCATTGCTTCACAGATTCCAGGAAGTTTCCAGATTCTATACATAAAGGTTGTAATTCTATAGTATAGTAAATACAATCCTATAATATGATAACTATATTCAAAAGTTCCATCTTAGTTATGATATAGAATTATAGAGCTGCATGAATGGACCATGGCAGAAGCTTATGGTGAAATCCTACTCTCTTCATCAACCTTACACTGAGTAAGCTGCAGAATATGTAATGAAAACCCTAAAACCAGAGGCAGTGTTCTGGAAGCTCAAAAAATTCAGAAAAATCAGGTGAAAAAGCAAAGCACTCTCTACTGGCAGCATGAGAGCCCTGCAAACTCGCAGGGTTTAGAGCTTGTGTGCTTCCACGTCAGGTTTGGAGGTTCTTGCTAAGGTTCAAAATGTTCAGAAGTTCATAGGCATCTGCATGGTCGCTCCAAGACAAATACTTCAGCAGACTGTCAATGTGACTTACCTACTAACAACCCTTATCTACCTCTCATGAGTAAAAAGTTTTCTTTGCTTATCTATAGGCTTCTGTTTTGCTTGTCTTGTAAATGATACATCTTTTCCTTATCTATGGACTTCTCAGGGGTGAGGGACTTTCTTTTTTGATCCCACTTGCAAATCCTCAAGACATCTCAAGATTAGGGATTTCATATAGCCTTATACCATGAGAAGTGTTTTGGTGAACC